TCCAGGATGGAGTCGTTGGCACCTGCATCCCTGTCCTCGGCCCTCATGGTGGCCACCACCTGCTTGAGCGGTGTGTGGCGGGACAGGCTGACGGTGAGGGGGCTGTGCAGGAAGGCAGGGATGTGGTCGTTGACATCCCGCACGGTGACAGTGACACGCACGGCCGCACTCCGGGGCTCCGAGGGCGCCGAGTCCACCGCCCTGGCCAGGAAGCTGTAGCCGGGGCAGCGTTCCCGGTCCAGTGCCTGCGCGCTCCTGACACGCCCACTCTGCGGCTCCACCTGGAACATGCCAAGCGACTCGTTGCCCAGGTAGTAAGAGACCTGCCCGTTGGTGCCCTCGTCAGGGTCCTCAGCCTCCAGCTGCAGCACCAGGGCACCGACGGGCAGGTCCTCGGGCACCTCCACCGCGTAGCTGGGCTGAGCAAAGCTGGGTGCGTTGTCATTCAGGTCCAACACTCGCACGGTCACTGACATGGTGGCGCTGCGCGGGGGGGTGCCGTGGTCCTGCACCACCACTGTGAGGCTGTAGGAAGCAACTTGCTCACGGTCAAGGGCTTGTGCAGTGGAGAGGACACCAGAGACTGGGTCTAGGCTGAAATCCTGCCCAGGGTCTCCATCTGGAAAAGAAGAAAGGGCATAAGAAGACAGCATGACTATAACAGGTAGAAGGAAGGATCTGCCCTGTGCTTCCCTGAGAGGACAGCATGAGCTTTACCCCAGTGAGGGTAGAGTGAGCTGTGCGCTGTAAGACCCCAGTGGGTGGCCTCCTTGGTCCAGGTCTGTGTGTGTGTGTCAGGACTGCCTACAGCAGCTTAGGGGTCACTGCTGCTGCCTCAGGGACTCCCAGATAACACATGGCATGATAACAGCAAGGAGCTCACTGAGGAATCTGTGAGCAACAGGTGAGCACAGCCAGGAGAGGAACAGAACTAATGCAAGCTTGGAGAACTAGACATGAGCCTGGAAATGCAGGCGTGCAGCCCTGCAGTCCAGATCTTGGGGTGCTCTTTACTGGGGCCAGGGAAACTAGAGGGCTGGGAGGTGGCAGCAGAGAACTGAAGAGAAGAGGAGCTGCCACAGGTGATGGGTCCTGGAGCCACGTACAGCCCAGGGAGAACAGCCCAGCCCTGCTTGCCCAGCCAGAACCCAAGTGTTTCCTGTGCTCCTCACCTGTCAGCTGGTATTCCAAGCGCCCGTTCTCGCCTCCATCGGGATCGGTGGCCCGCAGGGTGTAGAGTGCCACATGGCTCTGGTTCTCCGGGACCTCCACGGAGCAGGACTCACTCTCCAGCTCTGGTGTGTGGTCGTTCTCATCCCCCACTGTGATGCGCACAGTGGCCTTGGAGAGGTTGGGGGGCAGGCCCCCATCCCGGGCATAGACTGCAGGGACACAGGGCAGGCTGCCACCCACTGGCTGGG